TTTTCTTAACAAAAGAGAATTATGCAGTAATGAAAGTGACTAGAAGTCAGTCACAGTGGCACATGCCTGTAATCCCACCATTTTGGGAGGAGGAGGTGAGAGAATTGCCTGAGCTTAGGGGTTCTAGAGTAGCCTGGACAACCTGGCAAGACCTTGTCTCTAACAATAAATAAATAATTAGCCAGGCGTAGTGGCATGCACCTGTAGTTCCAGCTACTTAGAAGACTGAGGCAGAAGTATCGCCTGAGTCCAGAAGGTCAAGGCTGCAGTAGCCATGATCGTGCCAGTGCACTCCATACTGGGCGACAGAGTGAGACTCCAACTCAAAAAAAAAAAAAAAAAGAAAAGAAAATGACTGGAGTCTTAGCTCAACTAAAATATGTTTTCCTGGGATTCGGAGAGCAAGGAAAAGGAACACTGAGGTTTTCAGATACCTTAGACTGAGAAAAGTAGAATCTAAACAGTTATGATAAAAGATGGGCATGATTCAATTTCTGAGACTCTTTAAGAAGAATATAGCTCATATGTGATGGAAATTTTTGAAAAAATTAATTTTTTTAAATAAATGATGATAAGTGATCCCCTGTGGAATAAATCTGGAGATATTTCTCAAGAAACCTGTTGAGGATCTCAATATCTACCAAAAAAAACCCCCAAAACACAGGAACTATCAATAATAAAAGACAAATATGGATAATATAATGAGATCATAAGAATAATTCAAGAAGGCCAATCTTCAAAACTTGTAAAATATGCTAAAGACAAAAGGTTTTTTAAATTTCTTTTGATCTACTACATAAGGGCTTTTAAAAAATTTATTCAGAGTAAGGCTCACTGATTAGTGGAAAATAATATAAAATTAACTGATCGAAGAAAAAAGAAAGGAAGGGAGAAAAAGAGAAGGGAAGGAAAGAGAGAAAAACAGGAGAAAAAACAGAATTCCTGAGCCCCTTTTTTATAACCTCTGTCTTTGCCAGCAGATAACATAGAGTTCAAACTGGGAAGGGCAGAGCATATGTTAGGGGACACATGAAGGCCAAGATAAGTGAGCTGTCAGTTCCAGATTTCCAGGCTCAGATGAATTATATCCCTAAAATTTCCCTGTTGTCCACAAGATCATGTCTTTACTTCTGAACCTAAGAACTGTTACAGTCTGATCCCCATTTTATTAGTCCATATAAATCACTGTCTTTGGTGACAAGATTTGAGTTTCAAACAGGCTTAAGTTGAAGGGGAAAAGATAGTGAATGGCTGTGTGTAAGAATAAAGAAGATAGAAACTATGCAGCTGGACCTCCCAAGAACCCAGAAAAATCTCAGTGATTCAGCCCTGTGGAAAAAACAAGAAATGTGGCATAGGCCAGGCTCGGAGGCTCAAAATATAATCCCAACACTTTGGGACACCGAGGCCAGTGAATTGCCTGAACCCGCAGGTTTGAGACCAGCCTGGGCAACTTGGTGAGACTTCGTCTCTACAATAAATAAAAAATTAGCCAGGCATAATTCAGCTTCCATTTTCTTCTTCCTCTCTGCTGTCTATGTTTTCACTTCTACTCTGCAACCAACCACTGTAGTTCAGATCTCCAGAGAAACAACTTTTACTGATCCAGCATATTGCCACTACCCCTGTTTAGACAGAGATCTTAGGCCAGGACATCTCTTGCAGGAAAGAAGTCACTGGCCGCATGTTGATGAACTGTCCTTACGGTTCAGGTTTTTATCTCTGATCTCATAAGCTGTGGCCAGGTATTTGGCAGGTCATATGGAGCCACTATAATCAACCTATTTGTAAGAAACCATTTCAGACTGCTCCCAGTGGGGGGGGCCATGGCCATGATTAGTATCTCAGTGGGCTTGTCCAGTTCATGGGCAAATTTATTATCAAAATTCTTCCCAATATAAACCCTCAGCTTTTGCTGGTCTAGCTTTCCTCACCTCTGAACACAAGATCTGTTCATTCATTCACTCATTGATTCCTTCAATATTAACGGTATGCCTACTGTTTTCTAGACACTGGAGATATACAAATGAATTCCCTTTAGGAATTCATGGTCTTATGAAACAGACACATAAATCACTCCATATGATCTATGCTAAAATAGAGGCATGTATGTGGTACTGTGGGAATCCTGGGAAGGGTGTCACCCACTTGCCTTGTGGGGAGGAAAGACGAGGAAAGAGGGCCATTGGATTGAAAGTGGAGATGAGTAACAGCCACTTATCACAACAGGAGGGGCATGTGACATTTCACACAGTTGCAGTTTAGAGGCATGGAGAGCAGTGGAGACGGCCCCATGTAGGTGGGGTCACATGGGGAAGGTCTTAATACATCATTCATTTTGCTGTCTCTTTGCCCTCCTCTCCCCCCCGGCCCAGGTCCTATAAATACCTGGAATACTCTTGGTCATAAACCATTTGGCTTATTGGCTCTGAATCACAATTTTAATGTTTTAGGATATAATCTCCTTTGATACAGCTGTCCTGGTATGACTGCTGCCACCAATTAGCTGTAAACTGTCTCATTGGTGCTATCACTTTACTCAGAACAGAGAATATGCATTTCTAAGACTTTTACATAAAAATAGCAGCAAAAACAGCAAAAGTTAATCTCTGTCTTAAGCAAATAGAAAACCAAAGAAATCTGTTTTCAGGAAATGAAATACCTGTGTGCAATAAGATGAAAGTCCTTGGGACACTAGATGTCTTTTCTTTTCTTTTTTCTTTTTTTCTTTTCTTGAGTCGGGGACTCACTCTGTTGCCCAGGCTGGAGTGCAGTGGCAGGCTCACAGCCACCACAATCTCAACCTTCTGGGCTCAGGTGATCTTTTCACCTCAACCTTTCAAGTAACTGGGACTACGGTGTGTGCCACCATGCCCAGCTAATGTTTTTATTTATTGTAGAGATGAGGATCACCATGTTACCCAGGGTGGTCTCGAACCCGTGGGTTCAGGCCGTCCTCTCACCTCTGTCTCCCAAAGTGCCGGGATTATAGGCAAGAGCCACAGCACCTGGCTGGTGTCTTTTCTTAACCAATTCCCTCCTGATATTACTCTTTGCTTTTAATGGGGGTGGAGATGTTTCTGCTGTCCTCATACCCACCTCCTCTCCTTCACTCTAAAACTCTTCTGGCTCTCTGGCTCCCAGCACTTGGCACCAGCCTACTATCCTGAGATAGGAGAGGTTCAGATGTGCTAAGAGAGCTGAGCCCTAGACTCCTTGGCCCTGCAGCAGGCAAAGTACCTCTCTGAAGCCCTCCCTCACTGACATTTCCTGGGAGGGTGGGTCACCCATGGGAGGAGTTGTAGATGAGCCTGGAATGGGGCAGGGATAGCAAAAGTGGAACAAAGAAAGAAAAGCTTTTTTAATGTTTTCTGCTGTTGCTCTGGTGATTTTCTGTCTCAGTTTCCCTCAGTTATCTAGACTGTAGCATGGCTTAAACTTTGGATCTACTTTTCTCCAGTCCAACAGATAATTTTTTTAGAATATCATTTAAAGATTCTTTCCTTTCCCTGTTAAATTTTAGAGGTTGAAAATCCAAACTTAAGATAAATTAAGCAGCTATTTGCTTGTTGAGTATCTCTCTTATTCCCATGTCTTACCCAGTTTGAGTCCCACCTTTCCTACCCATGCCAATCCACCTTCAATTTCTCCCATTTTAAAATTCCTGCAGTTTTAGTTATATATTCTCTCTTGTGACATTCAATTACATAATGCCCTCAATTATTTAACTACTCTATGTGAAATTAACATCTTTTTCCCTTTGTTTACCCTCTAAGTCCATCCCCACAGCCCTCTGCACAGTGCTGTGGATTGAGTAGGTGTTGGTCAAACTCTTGCTAGAAATGAAATTAACCCAGCACACATCAGAGTTTTAGCTTACTTACCCCTATCAGAGGCAATGACTCCCTTTCTTCCTCTCTCTATTGGAAACTAAAGATAAGATTCTAGATCCTGGCAGTGAGAGGGACAGACTTTACACTTAAATCTGCCAGTTGGATTTTTTTTAGATTCTGGCATGTTCCCACTTACATAATGTCTAGGGCCTACTTCTGGCCAGTACAGAGGGGTTACTAGGAACTAAAAGTCAGAGGCAAATAGGCTCTGTTGCTTACTGGTGGTATGAACTTGGGCCAGTCCTAAGCTTCTCTAAGCCTCAGATTTTTATCTGTGGTTGAAAGAGACCTGTACCACCTCCCCTCTCCTATTTCCTAAGGAGGCTTTAAAACTCAAATGACTCTCAGATACATTATCAGATACATTCACTCTGTAAACTGGTGGAGCACTATATTAATGCAAGAGATTCTTATATTAATAATAACAAAATAGCTAACATGCGTGGCTTACTGAGTTCTTACTGTGTTCCAGGTACTATTCTAAGCAGTCTATGTTATCAACTCATTTAAGGCTCACAACAGTTCTTTAACATAGTACAGTCAGTCCCCTGTATCTGTAGCTATCACATCTGTGAATTCAAACAACTGTGGATCAAAAATATTATTTTAAAAAATGGATGGTTGTTTGAGTACTGAATATGTACAAACGTTTTTGTTCTTGTCATTATTCCCTAAACTATATAATACAATGAATATTTATATAGTATTTACATTGTATTAGGTATTATAAGTAATCTAGAGATGATTTAAAGTATACAGGACGATATGTGTAGGTTATAAGCAAATATGATACCATGTTAATATAAGAGACTTGAGCATCCATTCATTTTCATATCCGTGAAGGATCCTGGGAACCAATCCCCCACAGATACCAAGAGATAACTGTTCTGTTATGATTCCTATTTTGCAGTTGAAGGAACGGAGGCACAGAAGGTTTAAATAATTTGCTCAAGATCTCCCAGCTAGTAAGTGATAGAGCCAGGATATAAACCCAGGCAGTCAAGTATGTGAAGTATTTATGACTTCTGTGAAGAGGAAAGGGGGACTTGAGTGGAAGGGCACAAGAATAAATATAATCCAGTAATTTAAGAACATCTTTTGGGGCAGCAAACAAAAGAGAAGGTGAAGCTTCTGATTCAGCTGGCCGATAGTTTTGTGGAAAAAGGCCACATTCATGCCACGGAGATAAGGAAATGGGTGACCACAGTGGACAAGCACTACAGAGACTTCTCTTTGAGGATGGGGAAGTACCGGTACTCCCTGGAGAAAGCCCTAGGAGTCAACACAGAGGTAGGTATGGGGTATTACCCATGGGAATCTCCTTCTTTCTCCTCTCCCTCAACACCATTGCCCTCATGGCCATAGGGGGGAAAAAGCATGTTTCCCAAGCAGTCCTTCAAAGCTGTTGACCCTGAGAGTACTTGCCCTGCATAGTTTTTCTGGTGAAGGGAGTTGATCTTGCTGATCCATTAACCTCCACCCTCCCCCCATGATTAGTGCTTTATATATTGCAAATCAGCTGGCTAGAAGTGGGGCCTGTGGCTGCAAAACTGTTTTTCTCTGTGTGGAGTTAACTATTGACTTAGAGAACTAAATCCTTTCTCTCAGCTTCATCAGTATCATCTTCCACCGCGTTTTATCTTGATCAGCAAATGATTAGAGTTCCCAATATATGTAATAGTACTCTTTCGGGAATAAGGGGTGCAATTTGTACAAGGGCTATTTGACGTTTCAACTGAAAAGAGGTGCTATTTGTCACGAAGCAAGGGAAGACTGACTTAATCTCTTCTTTATAATAGGGGTCAGTAACCTATGAATTAAGAGCTAAATACAGACTGGCAATTTAATTCTGATTTTTGTTTCTGAGTGAGGAAATAGGCTCATGCTCTGAAGCAGAGCAGCCTGGAGAATGAAGAGGTCAAACCACCTAAAGTTGAGGCAGTTTTAATGTCTCTCCCCCAGGCTTTAATCTGTGAGTTTTGTTCTAGGGGGTTTCATCATATATAAATACCAAATGGTAGTTGAAATAAGCAGGGATGAGCAATTAAAAAGTTCAATCATTGTTCTATTATTTAGCTTTCTATTTCCAAGGGAAATTGCTTGTTTAAATAAAAATATTTGTTTTGATTATTTTCCTTTGACAACTGAGGTTTTTTTAGTATCTTTGTGTTTTTCACATCTATTTTAAATGGTGAAGAATCAATCTCAGACTAATTTATGTATGACTTTGTTTGGATTTAATCAGTACCAAAGGCCTTGGGGATATAAACACATAATTATCAAATGTGTTCATTGTTTTCTTTCTTGCTGAGGATATTAGCCCTAAATATTTGACTTGTACATTTTATATCTTTCTTATTTGACCAAAAAAAAAAAGAGCCCATGAAGAAGAATGCTTATGTGTGGGAGTTTATAGGATCCCCCATCTTTTCATCCCTCTCCATTAGATCTTTATTTTTCCCCTTTACCACCTCCCCCAACTTGAGTGAGTTGCTTTCCCAAAGCATTCTCAAGGGTAACCTCTTTGATCCCTCTGTGTGTAGGATAACAAAGACCTGGAGCTGGACATCATCCCAGCAAGCCTTTCGGATCGTGAGGTCAAGCTTCGGGACGCCAACCATGAAGTCAATGAAGAGAAGCGGAAGTCAGCCCGGAAGAAAGAGTATGTGTTGGAGAGCTTCTGTCCTAGCCCGCCAACTTCCCACAACTGTGCTTGGTTTTCACTGCCACCTGTCCCTTTCGATAGCTTAATATGTCCTCATGACCACCTGCAGAGGCTGGACTGCACAGACATAATATGAGAATATGGGTCCTCTCTGAAGACTTTTAGCTTTCTCCAGTCTGTCCTTCACTTGAGTTCTCTTCATGGATCGGTAGCTTCCTAGACAAAACTTTCTTATTATATTATCAAACATCACTTCACAGTCTCAAAACTCCGTGTGCATGAAGCCAAATTTTTTTTCTCCCCCTCCAAATTGAGTTTCCAATTCCCATCAATAGTGTCACTATCCTTGTTTCCAAGCCTTGTAGCTGTGGAGTAAGCTTCAACATATCCCTTCCTTCCCTATACTTACCCTTTCTTCAAAGTTTCTCTTGTCTCTGCCATTTTTTTCATCCCCATAAACACCTGTTTTGTGACCCTCAATGTCAAAAGTCTAGATTATTTTTAAAACCTTCCCCTAGACTTCCTGTTGCTAGCCATTGCCCAGTTCATCTGCACATAATGCCAGGTTTATCATTGCAGATACTGTTCCTCTTCCTACTACCACCACCTGTTATGTACTAGCCCATATATGAAGTGCCTTCCATGCATTTTCCTTTTTATCTTCCTATTACTTCTCTCTGGTAGCTATGATTATTCCCATTTATATGAGAAGTAAGACTTTAAAAAGCTAAGGAGCATTCCCCGGACCACACAGATAGTGAGCAGTTAAGCCAAAATTTAAACCAGCTCTCACTCTTTACCACTCTGTGATTTGCTTCCATTATGTCTCTCACCAGCTCCAAATTTAAAATGACTTCAGCTGGGTGTGGTAGCTCAGGCTTGTAATCCCAGCACTTTGGGACGTGGGGGCAAGAGTATTGCTTAAGTTCAGGGGTTCAAGACTAGCCTGCACAACATGGCGAGACCTCATCTCAAAAAATCAGCTGGGTGTGATGGTGCATGCCTGTGGTTCCACCTACTTGGAAGGCTGAGGCGGAAGGATCACCTGAGCACAGCAGGTGGTGGCTGCGGTGGCCATGAGTGTACCACTGCACTCCAGTCTGGGTGACAGAGTGAGACTCTGACTCAAAAAAAAAACCAATTTAAAATGATTTTATACTACTCCCAGAATAATTATCAAATTCCTACACATTTGACCTCACCTAAGTCAATCTTATTTCAAAGTACTTTCCAGTTTAAATAACACATTTCAGTCAGATCACTTTCATGGACTCCTCTTAGGTCTAAGAATAAGTTGTATATAGTTGTTCATACACTATTCTTAGCCTAGAACCCCTATAGTTTTGTTTGTTCTTTCCCTTTCTCTTTTCCTTCCTTTTTTTTTTTTTTTTTGTTGTTGTTGTTGTTTTTAATGTTTGGCTTTATTCTGCCCTAAGTCCTGTTGATTCTTCAACATCCAGCTCATATCCTATGCCTCTATGAATCCTTTATCTATAGTCTCCACTGTCACTGGCCCACCCTTTTCTGAACTCCTATACTTCTTTTCTATACTGAGTCCCATTTTACTTATTCAGCTGAGTCCTGAGCATATCTAACTTGATTATAAACTTTTTGAGGACAAGGAGTATTTTTATATGAACCAAGGGACTAGGAGAACCATATTTCTTGTATGAAGCAAGGGACTAGGAGAATGATGAAGATAACATAATTGATCAAGAAACACTTACATAATATAATTGGATATAGAGATTGAAACATTGAGGGAAGGGCTAGAAATTGTCTAAAATTGTATGACAAATAAGCACTGTAATACCAGTTTCTTTACTTTAAGTTGAAAGATGTACTGTAGGACCAGAAGACAGTAAGATGCTCTTTGGAAAGCATTCCAATGCCAGATGACCCCTCCCTTGACTTGGTCTAGGTGTCCCAATTTCAAAGGTTTTGCCTGGATTTCAAAGGGAAGAAATATGTACCTGGAAACTGGCCCAGTCAGTTTATAGAGATCAGATATAAAGCTGCCACTTAAATTTACTCTCAGGTCAGCAATAGCCCATGAAGAGATGAGGCAGAGGAAAACTGGCAAGAAGGGAGTGAAGGATTCTGAGATTAGAATATTTTGGAAGAATCTGAAGTTACCTGAGATTTTCATATATTTAGTTTTCTCAGGATAAGAATGGATAGGGGCCAGAAAGCATTTAGAGAGCAGAGACAGTGAAAACAATGAACCGTGCCAATCTTACACTCTGCTTCCTTTATTTTGGGGTTACAAAGTCATACATATCCAGAGGTTTCTAGAGGGCTTTATGAAGAATATTTTGACAGACTCTGTTTGGGTAATGCTAGGGGAAAAAAATAGTGTTATCCTAAGATAAAGAAGCTCTATGTAGTTTATTTTATCAAAATAAAGTAACACCACAGGTTCTTTGGAGCTAAAGAAACTAAAGCTAGCCTGTGAACTCACAACTTGTTTCATATCGGGAATGTAATAGTTTGTTAGAACTGCTGTACTAAAGTACCACAAACTGCATAGTTTAACAACAGTGTGTTGTCTCACAGTTCTAAAGGCTAAAAGCCTAAAATAAAGGTGTCAGCAGGGTTGATTTATTCTGAGGGCAGTGAGGGAAAGATCTGTTACAGGGCTTTCTTTTTTAGCTGTTTTCTTGCTCACATGGCATTATCCCAGAATATATGCCTGTATCCAAATTTCCCCCTTTTACAAGGTAACCAATCATATTGGATCAGGGGTCCACCCTACTCCAGTATTGCAATGACTCTGTTCCAAATAAGTTTGGAATCAGAGGCACTGGTGGTTAGGACTTCAACATATGAATTTTGGGTAGACACAATTCAACCCCTAACAGAAAGGGGAATAAGGAGACTATACTTGTCCACATCCTCCTCCTGGGCTCTTTCTAGTACACCAATTAACCAGAAGAGGTTAATGGGCGGAAAATAAAACAAAATGGAGTAGGGGCATAGTAAAGATAAAGTATGAGGAAAGATAAAACTGCAGGAAGCAGGTGGGAGAAAAAGAACAATAACAGGAAACTCATACAATAAAATTAAAGACAACTTTTCAAAGCCTGTGAAAAGTTCATTATCCCTCTGATCACCCTTCTTTCCTAGTTTCATAGCAATCTCCAGCTCATTTAATCACTGAATGGTTGTAAGCACCTACCATGTGCTAGGTACTTTGTTTACATGTGTAATCCTTGCTACAATTCTGTGTGATTAGCTATTTTATAAGTAAGGAGTCTGAGGCTTGGAGAAACAAATCCTACTTCTAGTCATAATTCAATTCTTGTTGTCTCTAAAATTCATGTACTTTTCACTCTACCTATAGAGTGAGGATAGGAAATATAGTGCGAATTAACGTCTGCAAAAAGGAATTTTTTGAATTAATACTTTAATAGGCTTCAGGTAGAACAATGTATATTTCTTTAAGGAAAATCCCACCAAAATAAAGATTCAGGAAAAGATGCTGCTTATTTAATATTTTTTGTGAAATTTCCAGTAGGGGACACCTTGGACATAGTACTTCTGAAAATTGTCACGTGATGGAATATTTGGAAATAGGTATTATTATGAACTGCATGAAAACCTGATACAGAAAATATAAGCTAAGCATATAAATATATAATTTGTGCTAAGTTAAGTATCATATGCCAACTAGCAAGCACCATTTCTAATAAAAATGTGTCAAGAAGAAAAACTGAAATAGATTCACTACAATGAATTCTAACAGGCACAAAGAAGAAGGGAATCGTCCTCAAAAGGTAACATGAACTTCTCTTCATGGAGAATTAAAGAGCAGTCATTTAACATTATTAATTTATGACTGTATGTTCAACTTTATGAACATAAGTTTATTATGTAAATAAGTGCCATTAGGAATAGTGTCAAAATATCTAATAAGACAATATTAAGTCAGAGGTCAGCAAACAGGCCCAAATTGATCCACGAGCTATTCAGTATAATTAGTCCAAGAGCTAAAAATGACTTTCTTTTTTTTTTTTTTTTTTGAGTTGGAGTCTCACTCTGTTGCCCACGCTAGAGCGCAGTAGCATGCTCACAGCCACCCTAGCATTGAGCTGCCGGGCTCAAGCAATCATTCCGCCTCGGCCCTCCAAGTAGTCAGAACTACAGGCGTGCACTACCATGCCCGGCTAATTTTTTTATTTATTGTAGAGATGAGGTCTTACGAAGTTGCCCAGGTTGATCTCAAACCCATGGGCTCAGGCAATCCTCTCACCTCATCCTCCCAAAGTGCTGGGATTATAGGCTTGAGTCACTGCGCCCAGCCTAAAAATGACTTTTTATATTTTTTAAATCATTAGAAAAAAATCAAAAGAAAATATTTCTTTTTTTTGAGTTAGAGTCTCACTCTGTCTCCCAGACTGGAGTGCAGTGGCTGCTCCCAGCCACCGCAGCCTCGACCTGCTGGGCTCCGACGATCCTTCCGCCTCAGCCTTCCGAGTAGCTGGAACTACAGGCGCATGCTACCACGCCCGGCTGATTTTTTTTTTTTTATTTATTGTAGAGATGAGGTCTCGCTGCCCAGGCAGGTCTCGAACCCGCGGGCTCAGACAATCCACTCACCTCAGCCTCCCAAAGGTGTGGGATTACAGGCTGAACCACCGAGCCCAGCTAAAAGAAAATATTTCATGACATAAAAATTAGACAACATTCCAATTTTAGCATCCATAAATAGTTTTATTGGAACACAGCCACACTTATTTTTTGTTTTAGATATCATCTATGGCTCCTTTCATACTACAACAGCAAAGTTGAGTGGTTGTAGCAGAAACCGAATGGGTCACAAAGATTTACTGTCTAGCTTTTTACAGAAAAAGTTGCTAACCCTTGATCATGATGGTATGTTGGACATTTTTTCCTGGCTTTGAAACTTAGCTTAACTTATGATACTGAGAACTATTTTCATATGTCAACAAATTTGACCAAATAGAAGTCATCATTCTGGGAGCAGTAAAAGTAGTGTAGGAAGCTAAGGGTCAAGCCGTCTAGTTGATGAAATAGAATATGAACAGCCTTGTATGCAGGTGCTGACATGTTATGATCTATGATTTCCATAACAAGTGAGGACATGTTTGCAATTGAGAACACACACATATCAACACAGAATCATAGAATAGTAGAACTGGGGTGGGAAAGGGAGAGAAAATATGGAACTAACTGAGCACAAACATGCTGAAGAGATACAGAGCAAATGACCAGGTTAAGAGAGACCTATACAAGATACTTATAGGAGAGGGAAGGAGTTTTGAAGAAAGGAAAGGACATGTTGGTAAAGTAGAAAAATAGGACATTCAAGAATATCATAAGTGCTGGGATGAGGAAGTGAAGTTTGAAGGAAGGGAAACATTATATTTATAACCAACTAAAAGCTCACTTATTTCTTTCTAGATTCATTATGGCTGAACTACTCCAGACAGAGAAGGCTTATGTAAGGGACTTGCATGAGTGCTTGGAGGTGAGTCTTGCGGTAATCAATTCACAGCTGTATTAGAAAAATGACACCTTTGCCAGCATCAGTCCTCAAGAGGAACTTGGTGACCTTAGTCTTCTCCCAAAGAGTAATGAATAAAAAAGTCACCCAAAAGAAAGCTTTCTCCCACAGTCAACAGTAATTGCATGAGTGTTTAAAGTGCTTTTGAAAGAAAGCAAACTTTTCTCAGACTGGAGTTTGACCCAGAAAAAGAAAATATATATACATGTAATGCACTTTGATTCAAAATAAAAACCATGACACAGTCAGTGAACTTAAATTGGGTTTGAAAATCTGAATCCTGCCCCCCTACACACACATTTAATAAATAACAAGAAGACTGTGGAGTTTGTGTTCTTGCCTAAGTTTGGGATAATGCAATATGCAGGTTTTATTTCTCTCTGTTCTGTGTGTTTAACATCTCACTTTTTAAACTCTACATATGTTTCTCTAATGAGTCCCACCCCACAAGTTTGAGGGCCTGTTTATTTTGTATGTCATGTCTTGCCAGTGATGAAACTCTTACTGTCTTACAGACCTACCTGTGGGAAATGACCAGTGGTGTGGAGGAGATCCCCCCTGGGATCCTCAATAAAGAGCACATCATCTTTGGCAACATCCAGGAGATCTACGATTTCCATAACAAGTAGGTTGGTGGAGGGGTTCAGAGGAGCACACCTAGGGCTTAACTGACAACAGACCACAGGGCTCCTGACAAGTGGATCCAAGCAGACTGGCGAAGCTTACCTGGTAAATTCTTGCCTGGTCAGTTTTCTAAAGCAGTTGCTGTCAGACTCCTTTTTCACTCACCCTCATTTCTCTGTTCTGAATTGTCCAGAATTCCTTTCTAGTGGAGAGTGAAGTCAGGTATTTGGCAGTGTTCCTCCCCAGTTCTCCTCAGCATCCTCATCTACCCAATCAGAATGTTTACCAGGCCTTGAGGAAATAGAAGTAGCTTCTCATTAACCCTTGTGGAAAATCCTGACATCTGAATTCATCTGAGGCTAACCATTCTACCTTGTGGTCTTTGGGTTTCAGGTTCCATTGAAGTTTTCTTTGAACCTAAACATTTTTTCTCGTCCTCAACTTATTTTGCATTTTTTCACAGCTTAGAGGGGGAGAACATCAACTGATAATCTGTTTTACTGAAATAAGTAGAATCATAGAGCCCTAAAACTTCACAACTCATTGTTTCCAGCTGCCAACTTGATTTAAGAATCTTCTTCACAACATACAAAACATGTTATATTGTTAACAAAAGGCCAGCAAGAAATTTGGTATGATTTATTACATAACCGACCAATGAGAGTAATTCTGTTTCCAAAATACAAATAGAGGGGTCTCAAGAAACAAGGAGGAAAATTGACCTAGAATAAAGTCCTAGAGTTTCTCAGGAACCTACAGCACTAAGTCGTGCTAGTCGAGGCTTTTGCTGAGTTGAGTAGGCATGCTGGAGACAGAGGAGTCAGCTCCAGGAGTTCCCAAGGAGGTCGTGTGCACAGGTGTAGCGGTCACCCTGAGGCAGGCCCCTTAGATGGCACCTTCTGCAGTGATGGACATGTCCTGTATCTGCATGGTCCATTACGGTAGTACTAGACATATGTGACTACTGAGCACTTAAGATGTGGCTAGTGCTGCTGAGGAACTGAATTTTTTATTCTAGTCAGTTGTAATAAATTTAGATTGAAAAAGCCACAAATGATAAGTGGCTGCCTTATTGGACATCCCAGCCCTAGAGAATGAAACCTCAGAATGGCCTTGTGAGAGAATGACCAAGAGGCAAGCAAGAGTTGGTGTGAAAGGAACTGAGCTCTAAAAGTTCTGAGTAAGGGGTGGAGAGTCACTCCTCTCTCATCAACTTATGATAATTAATCATTTTTATGTCATCAAATGGCACCAGTTTAAAGAGAGAAAATATGTAGCTCCCATGACTTTCTAACTTTGTCAGATTATTAAAACAGTAAGCTCTAGGGAGAACAACAACAACAAAAACCTTCTGACTTTCTGGAATATATAATAAAAGCCCCCAGTTTTTGTTTTTTTTAATCATAAATTTTACTACCCATTTGGTTTGTCTGGACATTTCCAGATGTAGATAAGTCCTCATGCTTTCTACTTATATCATACAAATTTTGACTAGTGGAGAAAAGGTACTACCTCTAAAATCTCAAATAAGTAAAAGATAGATTGGCAATTAAGCCAAGTAAGAAAAAGCAGGAACTGTAAAGTTCATAAGGGACCATGTCTTTACTGCATAACCAAGTGCCTGGCACGTAGTAAACTTTCAGTAAATATTTATTGGGTGGATGGATGGATGGATAGACGGGTAAACAAACTAAAAATAAAGTTATAAGTAGCAGACTTATGAGTAATGTCATTCAAGTTATAATTCCATCTTTTGTAAGACAGAGAAAACAATTAGATATGATTTTTCCTCCCATCACTACCAGAAGCTTCTAGAACAGCAAAATAATTGAATTTCTAAATGAAGGTATTTCTTGGAAGCTTCTTAATGTGAGAATTATACAATTATCCTAATACCTATTTATTCTTCCAGAATAAATACTTCTCTGAAATAACACTTCTTAACGTGAAAAAAAAGGATTCTTTTTAACCTCTATTGATGTATGTTTCTGAATTTGCAATTAAGTACTATCTAACAGATAAACATACTCCTCTCATTTCTAGTGTACTCCAGAAAGAGAGTATGGGAGGAAGGGAGGAATATTGGGAGATTGAAAGAGAGAAGGATTAAGATCGACACTACGTACTACTAATTAACCTAATTACCTAAGTCACTAGGAAATTAGTACCTAGACCAAGGGTTATATGGTGAATAGGTTGCATATCTCAGCTAGATAGTATTGATCTGTCTAAACAGTGTCACTTTGAAAAATGGCAGCCAGGATTAGTTTTTTCTCTCTTGCTTTCTCTCTCTCTCTCTCTCTCTCTCTCTCTGTGTGTGTGTGTAATCTGTCTCAAAGAACTTGGTCCTCATAGGTATTGAATAGAGAAATTTCCAAGTTCCAAAACTTTAAAGAACGATTCAATATGTAGAATTTAATACCTACAGGCAGTAGTTTTAGCACAAACCGGAGGTTGAAGTAGAATAACTTAGCTTTGCCCTCCACTCTCTTCATTTTGTACTCCATCTCTTTATGCGTTATGAGATTTACTTATCTACACAAGACTTAGACCCATTTCTGTTGTGTTTTGCTGAGCATTCCTGGAGCACTCAGATATCAGAGTGTTTTCCATAAATAGATCCCGCCAACAGTGATGGTTTTGTTAATGCAGTCTCCTCACCTTTGCCTAGCCTACAACTTGTAATTCAAGAAAATAATCTGTCTTCAGCTTGCCTTGACTGTTAGATTCGCAGCTTTGGTAAAGACAGTTGTTTGTTCAAATGTTCATTGCCTGCAGTTTAATCTGAATTTTACTTCTTACTTTTCAGTTATTCGGAGATAGGATCGTACATGAGTCTGAGCAATAGCATTTTAATAAAACCTCTACTGCCAGGGGTCAGAGGGTCCTCTCAACTATCAAGTACAACCTTCTCCATTCGCAGATAAGGAGGCAGGCCCAGAGAGGAACCAATGACTTGCCCAATGTGTGCCCACCCCTCACCTCCAGATCTTAAAGACCAGATGTTAGATTCCAGGGATGGTCTCCCACTTCAGTGCTCTCTTCCCTTCCCCTACTCCATAGCCCATCAATTGTAGCTGCCAAATCTGGCTGGTTTAATCTACAGCTAACCAATTCCCATGTGGACCCCCAAATGTGACAAACATTTCTACCTATTTCTCCCACAGATATGTCATTCTGTTGCCACACCCCTACAATAATTACCTGAGATCTGTTTTCAGCAAGGATTGGAGACCAACAACCAAGGCTAAATATTCCCTCTGCACCCTCCCTCCCTCTAGGCCTGGCCGGAAGCTAATAGATTTGGCCCTGGCCACTAGCCACTGTACTCCCAGCCTTGTGTTCCTGCCCAAGACTGGGGAGACAGGGCCAGAGCTGTGTGGGACTAAGCTGGGAGCACTGGCCAGGAGCATTGGAGGTGAGCAGAAGGGGTGAAGTCAACAAAGGGGAGGGGGAGGTACCCTGGTGAGGGACTGAACAACAGCCACATTTCTGTCATCTTCCCAGAATTCCTCCTTTGGGCCAGACTTGTGCTAGTTTGGAGATGAAGCTGGTATCCAGTGATCAAACCCATGCTCTGCCCTCTGAGTTCTGAGAATGATGTACTTATCTGTGATAAGGTAGTGGAGGGGCAACAAGTACAATTCAAAGGAGCAAAGAAAATAGCCTCAGTAGAAGCAGTAGAAAAGGCCTCATGGAGATGGGGTGTTTGATATAAATTTTAATTGATGAGTGGGATTTTTACAGCAGAGATGGCTTCCTTGATAATGAAGTAGAGTTTGAACAAATTTCCCATCTGGGAGGAGAATGGTGAAGCCCAGCAGGGAACCTGGGAGAGACAATGGGGAGCAGTTTGTGAGTGGGACTCAACCCTGGGTCGAGGAGCATGGGTAGAGGTCCTGCTATCACAGACCCAGTCAGGTTGTATTCCCTCACATCTGTGTCTATGAGATGGGGGTGGAGGGTGGGAGAGGTGGTAGATAGAGGCAGTGCAAGTCAGGAACAGGATGGGGGAACACAAAGGAAAGGAGGAGAGAGACAGAGTGAGTTGGGAAAATGGGTTAAAATACACGGACAGAGGATAAGTGAAAGAGAACAGTAAGGGGGCGGGTAATAAGGGGCAAGGAAGAGATGGGAAGGTGGGAAGAGCGAGAAAGGGAGGTGGGTAATAGTGGGGGAAGAGTGAGTGGGTGGGTGGATAAGTAGGTAGGTCTAAGGCGGGGGCTCTAGAGGAGGGGGAGGGGATGAGGAGAGGGAAATAGATGGATAAAGTCCTGCACCTCCCTGGGGCTACCGTCCTAATGCAGGCAGGGGAATGAGCAAGGTGGTATTTTTCCAACTTTTTTTTTTATCATGAACCAAAGAAAAAGCTTGTACATTGCGTCCTCATATACACATGCTTATACACTATATATAACAGGGAAATTAACATTTTGCAAAACAACACCCTCACTGTGTGTGATACACTGTGATCTCTCTCCCTCTGCCTCTGCCTCTCCCTCTGCCTCTCCCTCCTCCTCCCCCTCTCCCTCCTCCTCCCTGTCTCTTTCCCTCTCTCCCTCTCTCCTTAATGCTAGTTGCCACCCATAAATTGATTTTACAAGCCCTTAAACACAATGGGTGTTTAAGGGCTTGTAAAATCGCACAGAAAGGCACTGGCTCCACCAGGTGGTGAGCAAAAGGATGTGCAGCTCAGGGCCCCAGGGACAGGGCCACCCTGCCCACTGCTGCTGCCTTTTCCTCCTCCTTTGCCTCTCCTACCCCTTCCCAACACATAGACCTTGCTTAAAATGCACAGGCTTTCTAGGCTTCATCTCCCAATGCCTTTGATACTAGTTGTATCCCATTTGCAAAAAAGCACAGAATTACTAGCTGGAAAAGCCTGGAAGAAATGCTTAACAATAATCTAGTTCTAATCCCCTGCCTTACAGAAACGAGTTTACAGAGGTTTGTGACCTGCAGGTTTTTGGTTGGTTTTTGTTTTGTTTTGTTTTGTTTTTG